CAGAAGTAACAACCATGGGGAATCAGCAACACTTGCTTTTGAATGCAGTATCTACGGTAAAACCAAAAGGCTGCACAAACTTCAGTGCAATGAAAACCAAGAGTCGTCACCAAGACACCCTTTGTTCGAGTACACTTCGAAGAAGACGTGATTCCTTACCTATTTAACAATCTGTTTAATATTTGAGATGGCTTTAACTGCTCAACCAGTAGAAACACTTTTGCTGCTTGACCGTGGAAACAAGAAAACCTCGGTTTAGGGGCACGTTTTTTCGGGCTGTACGAGATTATCTGACTTTCGTAGTCCAATAATTGACTTTAATCACTAAACTTGCAGATAATTTTAAAAGATGTGACACCGAAAACTAACAGGAAGACCGGTGAGGCCAAGGAAATTTGACGGATTCTGTTTACGCATCTGTCACTATTTACTTCATACAAAACAGCAACAATGTTAGTACTCACGTGACAAGGGACCCTGACATCTGCTACCTTAGCGAGCTAGATGAATGCATATTAAATTGAACAGATAAATACTGCGTCAACTTAAGACGATAATAACCACCGGACTCGGGCTATCTTAGGAAACCATAGAAATGCTGCGTGGCTAAAAAAACAGGTGGGAAGCAGGCAGGCTGAAGGGAAATTGAATTTGCTCATTGAGATAACCAATAACCTATAACACTGGAAACAAGAAACAAACTCCTGCTAATGTTCACTTCCAGGTAGATTTTTATCGAATGATGGATGCAGAAGGATAAGCAAACTAACACAACCCAGAGTGGCTGGCCAGGAGCAAAATCAGGTGATGGTATAACGTTATTTTTACATCAAGTTGCGTCATTGATAACATTTCAGTCAGAAGATGGCACTAAACTATGCCATTAACATTTAGCGCGCAGACATAACGGGCGTGACAGGAACCACACAATATGTTTTCGGCTGCCGACAAAGCGCGCTTGCGATCAACACGCTGTGACGTCACAAAGGCAATTCCGCAGTTAGCCTGCAGGACCAACGAACGTCAGCAAAATGCGGAAAAATGTGGTTGGGTTTTTAAAAAAGTCAGATGGAGCGGGTGGAAAGCGGTGGACTGTAACCTAAGAAGAATAAGGCACCGTAATGAAATAAACGGTAACCGGACAGTCAACGGAGCGACTTCCCGACGTCAGCCAGGAAAGAAATTGGTGGTTAGCAATCAGATGGAGTTTGACTTCCGACTCAAGAAATATGTTTCTATGGGCTTCCTTTGGTGATTCACATAGGAATGTTGGCAAACTTTCTGTCAGTCGAACTTAAAGCTTAACGATAAAATCTTTCCATTATATTCATCCTTACCATTATTACAAGAAATACTGAAACATCTATAGCGAAGCCGATATCACAGGCATTTCGACAACCTATGGGTTCTGATTTTCTGGTCACTTTGTATTTAGCTTAATATTACCACAGGACAGACTCAATTCAATAAACCATCCGCTCCAAAAATTAAAGGTTATCGTGGTGAGCTAAGAACGTCAACATGGTACCCGAAAATAGTGAAAGAAATATTTTCTCTGTGCTCGGTACACGGCAAACTTGACCATCTCAGTTGCTGGTTGATCTGGGGACTCCATCATCTGTTTAGGCTTTTACTTGGTGGATCTGTGCTTATGTCTGCTCTAGTTGGTCTCGATGACGTCACGAATTGTAACTCCCCACACAATGAGACCCGCGACAGTAGACCTGAGGATCTCAACCAATTCTCTACTCCAGCGAAGTAAACCGAGTACAGAAGGGTCAAAGAACGCTCCCACGTCCTGCGTCGAGTCAGGATTTGCATTGACATCTTCGAGGGGATCAGGTGAGCCATGACGCACGACCGAAGGTAGCAACACTCAGCTCATGAAATGGACAACAAAGGATTTGCTCAAACCACCTTAGTCATTTTTTTACAGATGGCCTGAAATATTCTTGTGATATTGTCGCAGCGAATGCGGGCTGGCTAATTTGAGACGAAGTGGGTGAACGTCACTCGAAGGATACTCCTCAAGCGGCGGCGGCGACGGTTGTGGTAAAACACTTCCAGTTTTCCCGTGTACAGCCCGGCACGCCCAATCGCGTAGGATTGACCAAACGGATACCCGATACACGCGGTGTTTGTGGCGATGAGAATATTGCGTCGGCTGTATATACACTTGCTAAAGATTGAGAAAACCTTATGAGCATTGTCCATTCCGAGGACAATTTTTTCCTCACTCTGTCCCTTCAGCAGCGTTCCCTCCAAGGTATCAGAAACCGTATACTTCTACTGGGCGTCTATTAATTGCAAAGGACCTCTTCTGATCAGATGCAGTTTGAAAAGATTGAAACCGACCGACTGACTGATTGCATTTGTCTGCAGCACCACAGATTGTAGGTACCCATAGTTTGAGACTAGTAGGCCGATATGTTTTGCGTAGCTAGGGTCAGTCAACAGGCGCTCGGTGCAAATCCAACACTGTAGTGCCCTTCCGGAAATCAAAGCAATAGCGCAACTGAACAGAATGAGGGGAGGCGACAGAATCAAACATTGTTGCACATTAGATCGAAGATTAAACAATTGGACGGGGGGGCTATTATTGTGCACCGGAAATCATGCATTGATGGAGCGATAGGAAACCCTGGCAATGGCGATAATTTTTCCGGCATACCGTCTAGTTTCATTATCCGCCGCGTATGCGGGAACTTTGAAAATGGCAAATCCGAAGAACCACAGATCATCAACCGAAGACTGCATTCCAACGAACGTCCAAAACTATTGTTCAGTAAGAACTGCTGACTGGCTTCGTGTTCACCTGAAGAAAATACGGCTAACTGGGTCCGTCCCTATAGGCTAAATTGAATAGTAATAAGCCGACCTTCAAAAAGCGACAAATCGCTGTGCAACTACCCAGGCAGAAGCCTCTTCGATGCTGCTGGTAAAGTCTTCAATATCATCCCTCTTAATTGTTTCCCTTATATCGTGACTCATGAACAAGAATCAGTGCAGTCTTCGGCTGCGAAAGGGATGAGCGGAATGTGTGTCCCTCCATAGCTCCAAAAACCGGTAGGGTTACCAACAGTCTAGTTTTGCATGGATTTTGCCGCTGTGTTTGACTATATCCATTAGCATACCCGGTGACAGATCATACTGCATAACGGCATGTCACCGAAATCAATTCGCTCAGTTCAAGGCTACAATCGCAGAACAGAACCAAAGTCAGCTTGAAAGGCGCGGAAAGTTACTTCGTCGATTTCACCCTCGGCGTCCGTCGGTACTGCGTTCCTTCACTAAATCTGCCCAACGGAGGGATAGACTGGGCTCCTCAAAACGCGACGGAAAAGCGCCCCAGTAGTTCGTGGTCCGGTCCTAATTACCCCAATGTGTTTTTGCAAAAACGCAATGCACTATGCCCCAGATAGGCCTAGAGGCGACTGAAGTGTGCCTTCTAGAAAGGTAACAAACAGCTGCCATTCAATTAGTTTTTTTTTAACTTGTAGCAAAGCCTTTGGAAACAGCTTTCTTAATCCTTTTCCCCGTACCATTAGACGCAGACAAAAAAATACTCAGTGTGGTCTCCGAATGAGACGGTGTGCACCGTGCCAAACTGCACCGTAAAATCAACCGTTCCAAGCCGGTGATTGTATCGTATTCCAGGGTCCGAGCTATTTACCTAATTATGATTGACTGATATAGACACTTTGTACATTCATAGCCAACGAGCCTAAAAAACGGCTACGGTGGGCAAGTTTTATACTCACAAAAATGCCCGATAACGGCCAGAAAGACTACAATGGTCATTTCTTGCTTATTATTAGTGAGCACCTATTCAACAATATGAATATTCCCGATCCAAACCGATAGGACAAGGAGGTCGTAGCTCAACTGTTTGATTTCTATCCAACAGGCCGCCGGTTCGATCCTCAGATGCTGCAACACCTGCACTTTGGTATGGCTGGGTGATGACGGCGAATAAGCAAGAAGTAGCTATTCTAGTCTCCCTGGACTTCGTCGGTAATGTTTTTCTGCAAATACTACTAACTTTTGTGTATATGCTGGCAGGACTCGAGAGCGAATCCCAAAGCAGAACAGGACGAGTCCCAGAACCGATCGGTGAGCGCCAATTCAACAAAGTCTCATATTCACAACAGAGCGCGAAACTAACCTATTTCCTACTGATTTCGTTTCAAACAATTAGCTGGACTTCACCTCAATACCAGAGACTCGGAAACACTGCGACTGCCAATACACCAGACAGTAGAGTGGTCTTTCGACTCACGTTACGCCGTCGTAGGCAACCGATGGGCAGGGGCCCTCTGCTAGTG